GCAATATGAAGTGGGGTTGAGAGAAAGAGATGTAGCACTAGAAACTATTAAAAAAAGGAGAGGAGTAATGCCCAACGTCAAGGTGATTGCTTTCATTTGTCACCTTGATAAGTTGTAACTCTGTGCCTACGATGGTACCTCTCTCTGACGATTCTGATGAAATGCTTGGGAATGTACCAAGTCAATGGTTAGGGTAACGAATAGTATAGCGGATATAACAGGACTAGGTACGTTACACAAGGTCTTCCTGACGCTCCGACCAAATTGTGAAAGCGAGATCGAACCAACGCTATCTGAAAAAGTCCATTTAAAACTTTTTTTGGGCCCAAAAATAAAAAAATAAAAAAATGCTCAATCTATTTCTTATTCTGGAAACTAGATAGATTTGTCTAAAACCCAACGTTTTGTAGGAAATGGAGAATAAGGAACGGGTAAATGTGATGATTTAAGTAAGGAACTGGATTCTAGACCATTTTCGCATCATCTTCAACCATCTCCAGGCTGAAGTACTAAGTTGCCAACTAAATCATAGAATGACGTGGTACATTCCAATACGTTTCGCAGGCACAGTAGCAGGCATCGTAAGTGAACTTTGCCATTATTAGCACCAAATCACTACTCGTCAAAGAGACTGGTGAAGCCGATCTTTTAACAAATTGTCTGCTTAACATTTGTGGCATCACTCCTTACGTCCTGGGCTATTCATCAATCCTATTCCTCGTATCACCGCTTAACTATTACAATTTTTTCTCCTTCGCTAATTTAAAAATAGTTTGGTGTGCCTTTTTGAGCTGATTTCTTGAGAACTCTCCACACCCGACGCTGGCTTTCTCATCCCCTTCCATTTTCACCTTTGTGCTTGGAATGTTGATCAGAGTCTTCCCTATTGCAAGCAGCCCTCCTTCCATATGTCTTATCAAAGCCTCTCTCTTGCTCCTCAAGATCCGTCTGCTATCTATCTGGTTCAAGTATTTCACTCGAACTCTGCCACCCTATCTGTGTTACTCGAGGCGTTATTTCCCATACTCTGTCTCTGGGAGATTTGAGGCTAAAGAGCTCGAGTAATTCTCATCATCAAGCCTTTGCTTCATGGATCATGTCTATGATCAAACACGTCTACTGTTAGTCAACTAGCTCTTCTATCTGCCGCATATATCTTGCTTCTATCCATAATACCAAGTCTATGATTTCCTATGCCCTAGTGTCTTATGTGCCAACCCATAAATGCTGTTGTTATACTTGTTTTGATTGGGTTAAACGTTCTTTATTATTTACTGGAATTCTTATTATGCTAATTGCCAACTGAAAATTTTTTTAACATTGTGCTCTCTATAGATGTCTTCAAGAGGCCAAATAAATATTGTTTCACTCTAGGAAAGACCAATTAAGTCGTTAATTTTCGGCTAACAATTTAATTTAGCTTCTTTGCTTGTTTATGTGAATCAATATGAAGAGTATCGATACAATATGTGTATCAAGTTAAGGAGTTGGGGCTAATTACTCGTTAAGTTCTTATTTAGAAACTAAGAGTAGAGTATTTAGCAAAAAGTGGACATCCTGAAAATTTACCTTAGCTAATCACCATTACCTTAAATCTTGAACTTGCTAAGAAATGTCTTTGAAATCGCATCTTTTCGATGTCTCTTCAATCATTCATTCATTATTTTTAGAAATTGCAAAAGAACTCTTTTACATGAGTTCCCATCCAGTGTGACCGGCATCAGTTTGCAGATGATACAGTCGCCATCGCCATCCCAACCTCGTTCAGCTGGCTCATTTGGCGACGCTTCTAATCATCCAACAAAACAGGGAGGCTTCCATGATCACATATTGGGACGCACTCTTGGACAAGGCGGATCTTTACGCCTGGTTATATTCTCTTCCTGCATTTCTAATGTCATTAGCATCATTCTTGACGCTAAAGACGAGCTAGAGATTAAAGCAAGCTAGTCTTTTATTGAATCTCATATTGTCCATCATCTTATTACTCACCATTTGTTTTTTTGTATTCTAATTGGCACTTGTTAACAATTATGGGATGCTATTTTCTGTTATTGTTTTATAAGACTTCTTCCTTATTTCGTTTCTGCTCATACTTTGTGTAGCGTGCAATGCCAAACCTCTAGCCCAATCCAGTTTGACCGTTTAATAGAGGTTGTTTGACCTTGTTTTCGCAACTTGGTCGTATTGGTAGGAAGAGTTATAGGAACGTAACAAGTCCGGAGTCAATTGTATGCATGATCATTTCCAAAGTCGGACCGCGGACGTGGTACATTCCCAGACGTTTAGCCGGCATCGTCAATGAGTTTTATCATTAGTACCATACTACAACTCGTCAAGGAGACAAGTGAAGCCGATCCTTTGACCAACCGTGTGCTAAACATTTGTGGTATCTCTCATTCTGCCCTGAGCTATTCACATTTCCTATATTCTCATATCACGCCTTCACTGTTAAAATTTTTACCGTGCTTATTTCGATGTAGTGTGTTGTGCCCTTTTGGGCGGCATTCATGAGAACTCTCTACACTTCATGCTGGCGTTCTCACCCCAACTTCACCCTTGTGCTGGGAAAGTTGATCAGAGTCTGACATATTGTTACGCATTCCTCCTTCCTTAGGTCTTATCACAGTCTCCCTCTTGCCCCATAGAATCTGTCTGCTATCTCCCTGGTTCAAGTATTTCACTCGACCCCTACCACTCCATCTGTGCTACTCGAGGCGTTATTTCCTACACTCTACATCTTGGAGACTAACTTAAGGCTAAAGACCCCTAGTAATTTTCAGGGTCAAGCCTTTGCTTCATTGACCACTTTTCTGGTAAAAAAGGCCTACTATCAACGAACAAGCTCAATTTCCGCCGCGCCTATCCTGTTTCTATCCGTAATACCAAGTCTATGACTTCCTATGTCCTAGTCTCTTGTGTGCCAACCCACAAATGTTGTTGTACTGCTTGCTTTGATTAGGTTCAATGCTGAACCACAACACTTGCGGGTTTGCACACAAGAGACTAGAGCATAGCAAGTCATAGACTTGGTAGTACGGATAG